CCAGTACTTTGGCCATCTCAAGAGAAGGGAAGACTCCTTGGAAAAGACCTTGATGTTAGGAAAGTGTGACGGCAAGAGGAGAAGGGGACGACAGATGATGAGATGGCTGGACAGTGTCTGCAAAGCAACCAACATGAAATTGACACAACTAAGGGAAGCAGTGGAAGATAGGAGGGCCTGGCGTGCTCTGGTCCATGGGGTCACAAAGAGTAGGACACGACTAAATGACTAAACAACAACGATGCGGGAACAATATTCAAAAAATATAACTTTTCCAAACTCTGGGAGAACAGAACTGTATCCAGTGGCCTGACTTGGCATAGGATGGTTTGCTGTCTTTCTCCCAAGAGGAAGAAGTCAGGCCCAGGTCCACCATTTAGGTGGCTGTCCTGTGTTTTTGGTAATGTCTGGTCCTGCCTTGGGCAAGCCTGTTGACTGAGGGGAGTGTAAAAGGGATTAATTTTGGTAAACATGTTCATGTTTGGTCTAAAGGGTTTTGATCATTCTGTGTCATGTGCACAAAACCCAGCCCATCACTGTCTTCATAACTCTCCAGTGGGACCCATTTTGTAATGGGTGGCAACCTCTGTGATAATATATTTGATCATAGGAGCCATGTCAGCAACAGCTGTTTCCTGACTTGTATGCAGTATTAAGCCTGTTTCTTTTCCTTTGCTCGGAGCTCCTGGTGCCTGCTGTTTGTCCAGTAGGTAATTTTGAACTTTCAGTGTTCTGCCTAGAGCTTCCGTCATTTTAAAATGAGCAGGAAGTATAGATAAATGGGTCCTCGGTCAAACAGGCAAGATCCTAATGCAGAAGCATTCTGTCTGGTAATGTCCGCTGGTTTCTGCTCCAAGACAGGTGTTGTCCCTGAGGGGCAGCTACTCCCAGAAACAGTACACATTTACAACAGATTCATATATTTAACTGGCTTTCAAAATTCCTATCTTTACATATATTCGTTTCAAATGGCCCGGATCATTGTTGGGCAACCCATGGTCTTCAAGATACAACTGAACTACAATTTCCACCATACCTCACATTTTGCTAGTGTTAAATGGAATTAGAGTCTAAAAACATCTAGAGAACCTACCTTGACTACTCCTGGTCTATGCCTAGTTTTTTGGTCTGGAGGAGGCAGGCTAGGGCACTAAGAAGTTCTGAGACCTACCTTGGCCTCTTGTTATAGTTGGCTATTGATACTTTAAGAGACTGCCAGGGATAAATTTTGTGGAGTGATGTATAGGTTCTTAGAGGCATACCCTAGAAAGGTGGGAGAGAGATCCTTGGGGATTCTGACCTCCAGAAACACTGGTCAGACAAATGCAGCAATACTGAAGAGATACTGAAACCAACACACAGATCCAGCATCTAGTATAAAGAATAAGAAAGGAAGGGGCTTGATTGGGAAGGAATTTGGCTGTTTAAAGGGTTGGATATAGATAGAATGAAGAAAGGAGAAACACAGACTACAGAAACAGAAAACTCCCACCAACTCCAACCATGGTTGTTCTGAAAACTGTTAAAGATTACTGGCGCAATGCTTTCTTGGTCCAAATGAAAGCTAGAGGAATGGAAGTAAAGGAGAAGTGCAAGTAACTAACGCATTAAATTCCTATACAGTGCACAGATTGCTATTTAAGCAAATAAAATAACAGGGAAGACTGAAAAAAGGATTAGTTTAGGGTATTCAAATTGATGTGGTAGGTGTTTTGAAAGTAAAAAGGCAGAGAATGACACTAATCAAGATAATTAGCAACTAACAACTGAAGTAGAGCAAAAGAATAAAAAACCTTACCAGGGAGCTGAAAACATTAATTCAGTGACTGCACAATCCCCACTTCGAGCACGGTGCTCAAGAAGTTCTGGTGAGATTTTTTTTTTGGTCTGAGATTGTCTAACACTTTATGGGGTTCTATGGGGCTGTTTCCTTAGTGTGATATCTGTTGCTGTATCTTGCAAACACAGTTTCACAAAACAAATATCTTCTTATTCACAGTTATATAACAAACAACACTTATAACAACAACAAAACACTACAATTTGTGCACCCAAGTGCTTGGCAACAGCACCAATACAGAAGTTGCTTATAGAATTGCACAATTCAAGTGCCCCTTTGCAACCAAACTCAGACAAAAATCCAAGATACCTTACTCAACTGGGTTGGGTATCCATAAAATAGAAGAATCAGCTCCACATGTAGAGACCTCAAAATCCTAGAATGAAATATCAGTTCGAATGCATGTGTATGAATTCACTATGTGGATTCACCCCTCCAACACAAAAAATTGTAATTACACCTAGACCGAGTTGTCAGATACGTCAGCAATGCAAATGCCAACAGCAGCTCCGACCTCTTTAGCTCTCCCATTCTTTCTGGTTCAAATCTCTTACAGCCTCACTCTTCCTTAGTTCCACCCCTTTGGGCTGAACCCGTATTTCATAGGGGTTACAACTGCAAGCTAGACATACAATTTCATCCATTTTAGACTTGATCTGCAACTGTTACAGTTGGCCTTTTTAAACTTAGGATTTGGCCTAGTCAGTTGTACTGCAGTAAGTAAAACCTCTTGCTCCTTAAGCATCTTACTTGTGCCGATCTGGTGTCAAGTAACTTTTCAGAGAATTCCCCTCCCCCAGAATCTAAAACCAAACATAACAAAGGGAAAAGAAGACCCTCTTATGAAATAAATCGCTTGATACAAGATTCAAAGTCTGATTGAATTTGCTAGTGATAATATTGATAACTAAACACGGAAAGCATTTCACCTTTCCTGTTTCTATAATGTTGATTGCTTCTCTTCCAACGTTTACTGTTTTCACAGTAGTAAACATTGGAAGAGACTATTGCACTATTACTAATTATTTAATTAAAATTTAGCATTTATATTTTAAATTTCATAAGGTTGCTTTTTTGGTACATTAACAAAACTGAATGTTGCATTTCATGTTTTTAAAGTAATAGAAAAAGTCTAGATTTCTCTACTGTCCTTCAGTCTTTCCTAATGTTTGTGCTCACTTCCTATGCTTTAAAAATTATAAATATTTTACATCTCTGATCATGGTAGATCAGTTTCATGAATTTATTTTCTTGATTGTGCAGGATTCACCTGATAAATTCTTCTTTTGGTAGGAGCTGGTTATCATGGGAGCCCCTGGGTCTTACTATTGGACTGGAACTATCAAAGTACTGAATCTCACTGATAATACATATTTCAAACTGAATGATGACTCTGTGATAGCCAAGCGGTACACATACCTAGGTAAGTGATGTGGAGTTTCCAGTTCTTGTTCATATTAAATTCTGAGTGTAATATAGTCTTGCATGTCATTTCCCCCTCTGCAGTCAGAAACTATGTAAGCACAATTTAAATTGTTAAATTGTTTTAACTATGGCATAAAGTAATCTGGAACATAATTTTAGGCAGACATTCAATGAATTAATTAATTTTGTTATGGCTTTTTTGGTGCGCCAAGATCAGTTTGAATGACAGCATGCTCACTTGTACAGATTCTCCCTGGGAACAGGAAGTGGGGAGGACATGTGACCTGTAAATCCCATCAGCTCTGGCCAGCATAGGCAACAATTACAGGTGTTAGGAGTTGGAGTCTAGCAACATCTGGAGGGCCATACATTGCCCACCTTTGTTAGGGAAAAGTCCTGGATATGTCCTGGAATTCCCTCTTATTTCAGCTGGGATGACTGTGGGCCCAGCAAACAGAAGCAGAAGCACACAGATGCCTCTGGAGATCATAGTGTGGAAAGACTTTCTGAAGGCAGACAGTTTGACAATGACTAGGCTAAGCTATCAATTTAAGGATTTGAGAATTTTAGACTTCTATTCCTAGCCCCAATCAAAGATGTTCTATGGTCTCTGTATCTAAAATACCAGCTTTCAGAGTTCTGGCCTTTCTTTTTCGCATCTTGAAAAAGGGAGCTCTTTGATTTGATGTAGATCTCCATTATGAAAAGTCCAGTACTCTCAGACAAATGTTAATAAACCATGTAGAAAATCATAATTATTCATGTTTTATTCAAAACATTAGTTCATGTTTTGCACACAAGTGTGGGCTCAGCTTTAACTTTTTTCATTTACTAAAGTGGTCATTAGTTAATCATTCTGATACAACAAAGTCCCTTATTCAAAAATATATAAATAAAATATGCCAGAATAAGATAGGAATGGGGGCATTATTCAATAAACCTAATAAAGCTAGGTTCAGAAGTGCAGTGAATATCACAAGAGGAGTACTGTAAATCTAATGGCTTCTGTCCAGTCCCTGGTGACCAGTTGCTCTAATTATGGACGCATTAACAGACCTCAGTTTTCCTCAATTGTTTTGGCATGTTAAGCCAAAAGAGAGCTTTTAAAAACTAGAACATGACCTCTTTTCTTCAGAGCACTGTGCGCATTTATTTATTTGTTTGTTTCTTTTTTCCTAAAACAACAACAACCACTTAGCAAAAGCCACTTGAGAGTAGTTAGAATGAAGGACGGGCATACTTTATATGTGGAGGTTCTTTTTGAATAGATGTGAATCCCTTTGTTTAGCTTACAGATAAAAGGTCTGTAAATGACGGCAGTGGAAGGAGGCCCTGAAGTATGAAATGATGTCATTAGGAAGGGGGGAACTAAATCTTTTCTACTACAGAACCTTCATGTTTCATCACTTAAGAATTTTCTGAGTGGTGAATATGACAATCTTATTGATTTCACCAAAGAAATGCTTTTCCTTTCCCCCATAAGCTTTAAAAATATCCTTATGCAACCACAGGTAGACATGTTCACTTTGTTCTCTCCCCTGCCCCTGACATTTCCATTCTTGATTTTTCCATGAAATTAAGTCCATGGCACTCAAGTACAGAAGAAGAGCCATGTTAGATTAAAAGTCTGCCCAGTCCAGTATTTTGTCGTCACCGTGGTCAGACAGATCTCTTTGGGAAGCCCCAAAGCAGGACCTGACTGCTACAATGTGTGTTCACTTGCTTTGGCAAGATCTTTTTGGCGCTTTCCCCTCTCCCATACAATTTGGTGCTGTAAGCGATCACTGAGCAAGTTGAAATGTACCAGTACCTCACTGTTTAGTTTCCTCCATTGTGAAAGGAGTCCATTTGTTTCTACCTTCTGCTTCTTCCCATTCTTGCTACTTACTGATCCAGCAAAGAATTTCTACTCAGTGGTTCTCTTCGAGTGTAATAGAAACTGTTGCACAACAGGCATAAATGATGGGTTCCTGTAAAATAAACCATATTGTTTTTTTATTCAGTGTGGGTGGGTGTGCTTAACTATTTTAATGCTTCTTTCTTCTGCATTTCTACCCCTGAACTTTTTTTTCTTAGCCAGAGCTATTGTTCTGGTTGCTCACAGTGGTTCAGTCTACAAACTATCATCCTTTTTCATTTGCAAAAAATGATTGATTGCCTGTTGCAGCCTTTAATAGAGTATCAGTGAGTTTCTGTTTTGAAGAACTAGAGCTCTTGAGACACTACTTTTTGGCTTTGTTTTTCCCACAAGGCCAACATATTTATCCCCAAAGGAAAGAGAAACAATAATCTTGCTTTCATCCAGATGGCTGACCTGTCCAATGGACCAGTTTCCTTTTCTGAATGTGTTTGTCATTTCTCTCCCTTGGCACCTCTGATTGTCTCCCCTGAAAATGACCTGCTCAGGATACGCAGTGACAGCAGGTCATTTCTCTCAGCCAAAGACTACTGACATCGTTGGAGGAGCTCCCCAGGATGGAGGCATCGGAAAGGTGTGGCTGTTGATCAGACTTTAACTCATGTACTAAAGTGGGTACCATGTGATGTTTTGACTCATTCAACAGAAAAATAAACAAGGAAAAGGTTTCGATTTAGAACAATTTGAGCATCAAACTTGTGCAAATTTGGAAGAGGATTTTAAACAATGGTTTCGGGTGAAAAGAGTGATTGTTCCTTTCAATTTTGTCTGACTGTCCTCTCTTCCAGCACCCCTATGTCCAGGCTGCTCCTCCTTAACCGTCCAGGAGGGGTTTGGGGAATCTATGTGCTGTGGGAGAAAAAAGGGAAATCTGCCTTCTGGAACATCCTTAAATTAACTTACTTTCAATCCATGCAATTGTTAGGCAGCAGAATCCTGTTGCTGATTTACATGTGTGTAAGAAATCATAGACATGCTGCCTATTAACGAGGTCCTGTTTTTATTGCTACACTCAAGTCCAATGGGACAATCAGACCTATGATGTGGAACACAGCAAACGCTCACTGATAAGTGGCATTTCCCCACCAAGATTTAAGTGATTTCCTTTACACAAGTGTAAATCAGCAGTAGGATTTTGGCTGTTATGTATCTTTTATATAATGTCTTTAAAACGAAGGAAAACTTGTTTTGTAATGTTTGTCTTCTTTGGTTATGCAATACTGTATTTTGGAAGTATAGAGAAATTGCTAATATTAATTTCAGTGAGTTCAGCTTATTCAAATTGTCCGTGATTTCTGTTTAAAAACCCCACATTTTCTTAGATAAAAAGAAAATAAAGACAAATGAAAGGAATACATGTCTTAAAAACATTTTTAAAGAATTCAACATAAATACCACAGACAGTAGAATAGTACAAAATGTGCTCGTCTCACTGAGTCAGTGATTTTTATAGCTTTGAGCTGAGTTCTCTCCCTAAAGAGACATGATACTATGTTGTCTGAAAGATTAGGCCTTTCCGAGAAGTACTGTATCCTACATCTCAAGTCCAAAATTTCAAAAGGCTGCCACTCATGTGTTTGTGTTGTTTAGGTATGGGTTCATTTATGTATGTGTATAAACTCCCATATTCTGGGATGATTTGGGAAGATGTTATCAGATCTGTTTTAACACTTAGGTTTTAGCTTTTTGCTGTTGGGCTAATGGTTCAATTTGTGGGCCAACCCTGTCAGTGGGCAAATAAAATTTCAATTTTATGAATGGGTTGGCAAATAACATTCAAAAGGATGGGTGACGTGAGCCCCTGCACAACCCACCACATATTAGCATGTTTTTTCCCCTCTGACCTGCCCAGCCTTTAAACTGAACACACAGAATGCAACTCACCAGTCATGTTTGGAGGCCAGATAAATTCAATAACCATCTGTTTTCCACATTAGCAGAATAATCATCAAGAAAGTGGCATGTGAGAGTACATGCTGGTTATTTGTTCATCACTTGTTGTGAGCCAACTGCATCCTTTTAGGCTGAACTATGATCCAGGCTTTCTGTGAAGTTAAAAATGGGGAGAAAAGGATTTGGGTATGCCACCTTAAGCTCTCTAGAGGAAGCTGGAATATAAGTGCAGCAAATAAATAAATGAAAAAAGTTAACTGAGCAGGCAGCAGCTATATTTTGAGAAGGAAGGCATAGGACCTGAACTTTGGGTCTCCAGATCTTGACAGCAGGCAAATAGCTCTTAAAAATCCATAACCAGCAGCAGTGCTGTGGATGGGGCTTCCAGAGGTCCAATGAGGTAAACTTATGGCCATCCTTGGTATACATCAGACTTAATATTCATTAATATTCATTCAGCCCTTCTAAAGCGTTAGACGCACATCACATACATGTCCTCACAGAGATCCATACTGTAACCCTGAAGGTAGACCAGTGTTATTTTCCTCACATTACAGGAGTTTTTTCCAGCCATCATTGGGAACTTCATGTGCATAACAAGGGCTCTAGTACTGAACTGCAGTCCTGTAGACAGTGTCTTTTTTGTGGTGGTGCCCTCTGAATATGGGGTGTTCTCTCTAAACAACCCAAACAGCTTAGCACATATTCTGATTTTTCTTTTTTTAAAAAAGATACTGAATGGTTCTTCATGCAAGTGGCTCACATTTAACTAGAAATAGTCTTTGCTTCTTTTTTTTTCCAGTTTCATCCTTCTCCCACAATTTTCATATATTTATGATTGTTTTTATTCTTCAGATTTTTTTCCTGGTAAGCCTTCACTTTGTTGTAGAAGGACAAAGTAGATGAATGACATAAATAAATCACATACTTACAGCATGGGCATGTAGTTCAGTTTGCCAATCAAGAATGCATGATTTTGCATAATAATCATTGCAATAGTATTAAATAACTTTTTTGTTCATTTAAATTCATAGGTATACATTTTCCGCACCGATAAGAGATTTGGAGCTTTAGTAAAGATTTTTCAGGCTTCAGGTAAAAAGGTGAGTAATGTTTAAATAACAACTTAACACTTGTTTTTAATCTCCTTACATAATAAATAGCTGCTTTTCTTAGGGGTACAGACTTTTCACAAGTATATGTGTTTTCAGGCTGCAAATCCTCTTTCTCCCATTTTGGACTTAAGAGATTTTGCTGCCTGAACAGAAAAAGTAGCAAACGATACCTTCTTCATGTCTAGGTCACCCACATTTCCTTGGGCTCAATAATATGAGTGCATACTTGGAAAATTTCTTCATTTGCACTCTGATTCTTCATGTTGAACCATTATTCTTAATTCTTCTGAAAGCAGAACTGCAAGGGCTGGTGGTCTCCAGGAAAACAGCCAGTTAAGCAGGCACAAGAAGCTTGAAGTCAAAGTTTAAGAATAGTCCTGTGTGTGCTTGAGTGGTGATTTTTTTCAAGCTGAGTAACTTTGCAGAACAATGTGGAATCCAGTTGGTGGCTTTAGAGAATAAGGTGGAATCTAGTTGGACTTTTGTGTCATGTGATCCTTGCTGAATTGATAACTGCAAGACTACCCTCTAGGTGTTTTGAACAATGGTGCTGTAGAGTGAAGGACAACAGTGTCTGGCAGCTTACTACAAAAAGCAGTCTACCTGGCTGCTTCTATCACATGCCTCCCAGGCAGAGGCTTCTAATTCCTTTTAGGAAATTGGAAACCTTATGCCAGTGAATGTTGACAGATGTGAATAGCAAAAACCTGAATTTCTCACAGTCATAACAGGTCAGCCTTTCTGCACAATAATGTTGCAGTTGGGTAAACAATACTCTTTTCCTAACTGAATTTGTGTAAATCAACAGTGACATATTGTTTAGATCTTTCATTCACAGACTCAGTGTTTTTTCAAAACACAACCACCCACCTAACAATGAGAATTCTCAAAGGGAGTAGTGAGACATGTTTGACCCTGAACTCTTAAAGGCTAATGGATAAGAATGCTAAACTAATATTCGTTCTTTAGTTTGTTCCTCTCTTTTTGCTGTGGCTAATGAATAATGATGATTACTTTTCTGTACTGAAAGACCTGTTTTGATTTGGTGATAATAATAGTGGTCACTGCATAACTGATGGATAATATGCAGTCATGGGTATGTTTGATTCATTCTGATCAAGGATAAAGTTGAGTGGTCAAACTGAAGAGAGCAGACAATATAATCAGGTTATAATGCATATTATCTATGACAGCATTTATAATAGCATGGTGAATAGCTTTCTGTAAGGTCACTTTGGTGTCCTTTCTGAGTCAAAGACTGCTCTGTGCAGAATAAAGGTCATTAGACATGTGTGTGATTTGGCACTAGATTAACAGCATATGGTCTCAGTTTCACAGTGTGCAAATAAGGATCAAAGTTCAACAATTTTTTTTTAAAAAAATCCAGAGCAAACATTGAGGGTGGGTTCTCATGTTAGGATTTCCATATGGAAATAACACTAAATGCTAGCTATAATTTATGTGGCAAATTGGCATATCAGTGCCAGCCACTACCAGCACTGAAAATGTGGTGTTGGCATGGAAATTCCCTGTACTCTAAGTGCACAGTGGCCAATTCACCTTAAGATTCTGATCCATCCTCCCCCAACATTGGCCCTATAGTGGATGCTAGGGGACAGATAGTGGAAATAAGACATTGGAAGACAGAGCTCTGTTCGCTGTATCACTTGATCTGTACCACCTACATAACCTCCTGCACTTGAGAATAATGGAGGACACTATTCCATCACTACCAATGAAGTAAGCTTCAATTGTTAGTCTTCACCAGCTTCTGTGCATGTATTAGAAGGGGGTGCCATCTTGTTCTTC